TGGAGGGCTCAAAGATGATTTCAACATTTCTATCAACGATATTAGCATTGTGTTTTAGTCCACAAACCATATGAGAGTTATGTGACTACTTTTAAATATGAGGGGGGTGATCTGCAAAATGACTTAACTAGTTAAACCACAAAGGGATAAAGTGAAGTTTGCCCTATTTTTTAGTATTGGCAACAGTTTCTTTATGCTTAAGCTTAGGCCTTGATTTTTTTTGCTGTACATCTTGGTGAAAGTATAGACCTCTAATATCTCTCATGTTTAGATTTTTTGTATGGAGATTCTTAGTGAAAAATAACCTAAGATGGATGACATTGTAGGTGACTAATGATACATTCACAAAAGAGGATGGTGAGTTCTTGGTGAAACATGGAGCACTTCCTGAGGAAAGGATACGTGCTGTGGAAACGGGAAGCTGCCCACATACTGCTATTCGAGAAGACATCAGCATCAATCTTGGGCCTTTTGAGGGGCTTTCAAACTTGTACAAAATAGATATACTGTTGAGATTTAACACGTTTTAAACCCACAAACAAACAGACACAATTGAAGAACAAATCAAGAACATAAAGCAATAAGAAACAAGAAAGAATAAAAAACAAAGATTTTACGTGGTTCGGCAATTTGCCTACGTCCATGAAGCTGCAGGGATTTTATTATTGAGAGAGAGTAGAATACAGAGGGTGGCTTTCAGTTACAATCAAACCCTAAACACCAAAGTAGCGGTTTTTATATGTCCTGCGTACCGGGCTACAAAATAAGCCAAAAAAATTTTCCTCGGGTCCCAATTCTTCGCTCCATGGACCAAGCCTCAAAAAATTTCCTATTAAAAAACTCACGCAATATTATTTCAAGTCGGGTCATCATCCGGATCAATATACAAATTAAATTCCACAAAAGGCCCAACATATACTTCTCTGTGAATCTGGGGGAGGTAACTTGGAAGTGAGTACCATAATGTACTTTGTTTAGCTCTAAATATTATTTAGTGTTGACCATGAAATTGAAAATAATATATAAGCTTCATTTAATCAGGTTCTATGCACCTAGATTTATGTGACTTTGGGCATTAGGTGAAAAGTTATTACGAGGAAATTGAAACCTCATGGTGATCAAAAGTTGTGGCAATAAATCTGTATTTCTTGTTGATTTGAAAGTTGTGCTGAAACAATTCATGAATTATTTACTACTCATGGAAAGAATTGAATTTTGAAATCATTAGATGAGAGAGAACTTTATTTATTTTCGTATATAATGGATTTAGGTGTCGATTGAAACATGTTTTAATACGCTTAATTTATGTGGATGCAGACAATCTAACTGCCAACTTCAGCAGGGAATTGGCTGACTATATAATTTATATTATAGATGTATCCGGTGGTGATAAGATCCCTTGAAAAGGAGGCCCAGGGATCACACAAGCTGACCTCCTTGTATGTGTTTTATTCATCTATTACCTGCTGTTTGGGGATTTTAACACCATTTAATCCATTGATGTTTTCTCAAAAGAAATTATTGAAAGGTCTGATGTTATTGAGATTGCACTTAATTCTAGGTAATAAACAAGACTGACCTTGCACCGGTTGTTGGAGCTGATTTGGCAGTTATGAAGCGTGATGCACTTCGGATGGGGGATGGTAGTCCGTTTGTTTGTGCTCAGGTTTGTGGAATGTGTTGTTTCTCCATATTCTGCTGCATTAGTGTGATACATGGATGGTATAGATACCTATTTGAAATGATGCTTCTATTACTGGTTTAATAAAATTTGTCATGTGAACGACAGAAAAATTGTATATTATCCAAAATCATGAAGTGCAAAAGCAAAGTCTGTCATTCTGCAGCAAAATAGTACACCTAAAATTTTACCAGGTTAATTCTAAATTGTATCACGAAAGATCGTTTGAATTTTAATTTGTACCTTTAAAATTCAAAAATTTTAATTTGCACCTTAAAAGATAGAAATTTATATCAATGTGCACCCCAAAGATCAAAAATCTCAATTTATACCCTCAAAGATAGAAATTTATATCAATGTGTTTCCCAAAAGATCAAAAATCTCAATTTGTACCTCAAAGATAGAAATTTGTATCAATGTGCTCCCTCAAAAATTAAAAATCTCAATTTTCACCATCAAAGATAGAAATTTGTATCAATGTGCACCTAAAACTAAATTGATAAATTATACCTAGATCCCTTTATGTTTGTCACTTAATCATTTAGACCTCTTCACATTTAGAATATTACTCATACATCTCATGACGTTTGTGCATGTGTAACACGTAACCATTTTTCATTGATATTCGTTAATAAAACCATTAAAAATATGATTTTACCATAACAAAAAATTATAAATTTATATTACCTTTTATTTTATGTATCAAATATACTTTAAATTTCAAAATCAAGTTTATCATTTGAATGTCTAATAGAATAAAGGGTTGCACATTGAGCGATATATATTGCATTGGATATAAAAAATATTATATAAATATCTACATTCAATTGGACATTCAAATGATAAGCTTGATTTTAAACTTTAGAGTATATCGCACCCACAAAATAAAATGTAATATGAAATTATAATTTTTTATTAACATAAAATCATATTTTTTTTAACAGTTATATTAACATATATCAACAAAAATGGGTTATGTGTTACACGTGCACAAACGACATGAGACGTAGGAGTAATATTGTAAATGTGAAGGGGTCCAAATGATTAAGTAACAAATATGAGGGAATCTAGGTATACTTTATCAATTTAGTTTTAGGTGCACATTGATACAAATTTATATATTTGAGGGTGCAAATTGAGATTTTTGATCTTTGGGGGTACACATTGATACAAATTTCTATCTTTGAGGGTGCAAATTGAGATTTTTGATCTTTGAGGGTGTACATTGATACAAATTTTTATTTTGAAGGTGTAAATTGAGATTTTTAATTTTTGAGGGGGTTTAAATTAAAATTTAAATTATCTTTTGAGGTACAACTTGCAATTAACCCAATTTTACCAGTATGGTGACAAAGCAGCTCCTCCACTAGTTTTGGGGCATTTGTTACTATTAACCATGCGTACAAAAATCTCCAGTATTCCGATGGAGTGAAAATTTCTGACAGCCACAGTCAATAATTTGATTCTACGTTGTTTGTTCTTAAATGGCTGTAATACAATGAAGGGGAAAATAACAACTATAATGGTAAATGTACCTACTTGATTTCTTGAATTGAATCGAATCGAATCGAATCGGAGAGAAATGGCCATTACTTGCTCACCTGAAACCCCCTCAATGGGTTTCAACTATTATACGGGCTGTTTGTTTTGAATATTAGAGTGATTTAAGGAGGTGGTATTAGGAAAATAATACGTGGAACTCATCTTATACGTTGTTTATTTGGCATTTTATAGTTAGTACTATTTTTCGGGTCGTAATATTGACCCGCTATGAACAGTAACTATTATGCCTTTTAGAAGATCTTAATGAATAGCACCTAGGGGTGATATTATATTCTTGGTATAGGTATTATAAACTAAAAAGATTAAAATGTCCTCTGATACAATTTCCATATAAAAGTCTAGCCGCAATTTTTGATTTTTTAAAGGTTAAAATTGTCTTTTACATTGGTTAGCCGCAATTGTTGACTTTTTAAAGTAGGTATTACACAGCTAATATTTGTGATAACAAATAAGGAGAATGATGAGATTATAGTTTAACACCGGATATAATATACTATTGGATCGGAATGAAATGGATATAAAACCTTATATCACCTAAATTTTATACTCGAAACCAACGTGTCCTTATATGTTTTTTGGCTGACCAAGTGGCAGTTTCATACCGACTGGTCCAATAGTTTTTTTATATAGAATGTAAAACTTTTACCCTGTGATTGATAAATGGAAATTACATGCATGAAGGTGAAGCATGGAGTCGGCGTTGAGGAAAAAGTAAACCATGTTTTACAAGCTTGGGAAGTGGCAACAGGAAAGAAGCCCCATTGATTTGTTTTTCAATTGTTTTAGTGAACAATGCCTTTTGTATCTTATTAATGTTTTCTCAAAAATTCAGCACTCCCCAATCTGCGGTTGCCTTTGTCGGCCTGCTTGGTCCTGTAGAACTTTTAAGATTTGGGCTCTGGGAAACGAGGAACTTGTATTTTCTTAGAAATTGGTTCTTTTTTGTTCCGGTTCGTATTTAGAATTTGATAGTCGGAAAATGTTTCTCTGCACAGAGTGACAAGACTGAATACAACTATCCTGCTCATGCAAGCAATATCAGGAGTCCCCTATATTAGATACCCTAAATAGGATTTTTACAGGTAAGCTTTGTAGCTCTTTAGGTTGACAGTGAATCGAATTCTCACAGCATTTCACCACTGCCACTTGATGAGCTGCCTTATTATTATTGGGCATAGGACTGCAACTGAAAAACATTAAAAGAAACAGCACAGGTTGTATTGTCTTCTACAACTGCAGATATCCCTCGCTGCCCCCGTTCCCGTGCGTGCATTTTGTGTATGTGTGTGTGTTGGGGGGAAGGGGGTCCCTCTTTGGAACTTTAGTTCAGCACAATGTCTTTCCACAATGGCACCATCAAGATTGAGAGTTTTGGCAATAAAGCATGGTTTTCTAAGTGCAAGGTCTTGTGACGTAAGTGATGAAACCACATGGAATTGTTTTGCTAATATTCTAGCTAGAGAATTAGTCATGGTTGCAGTGAGGAGTGTTTCAGTTGGTTGATAAATTATGATTCACTCATTCAAAGGTTGGACCCTTTTTGGAGGTGGTGTGTGGTTTTGGGTTTATTAGCCTTCTGGACATAAAACGAAAATATTTATTACGTTATTGTTCTAATATTGTGGGGTACTTGTGTAATTAGTGTTGTTGTTAACATACAAAATTCAGGGGCTGTTATATAATTTCTAAATTATAGAACGTCTACTACTGTTCTGTATAATTATAAAAGAGACACAAACCAAATTCGATCTATCTCCTATATAAACGCTCTCGAGATCAAGAAAGAAGAGAGAAAAAATTCAGACTCGAGAGGAGCAAAAAGGGCAGAGCACCAATTAATCCTCTTGGAGACCAGCAGAAGAAGAATAGCAACACAGACGTTGCATATACATACGGTTAGATATATATAGATAGCGAGGGGTTTTAGAGAGAGAAACTATGGGGGAAGATGGACAAGAGAAGAAGAGGAGGGTGGTGGTGGAGTCGATGGGATGGCTAACGGAATCGTCGATCATGCCGAGAAAGCAACGGGCAATCTCTGGCGTAGGTCCGTCCTCCATTCTTGAACTCAAGGCCCAACTCTACCAGTCCCAGGAAGAGTCCAAGCGTCTCTCTCATGAACCCCTATCTGGTCACGAACAACACATTGAAGTCCACCGTGCGAAGAAGAAGATCGCCGCACCCGATACCTTCTCTCACACGAACTCTGGCGTCGAAGCACGCGCTGCCAAGTACATTTACATTCCTAATCTTGTTAATTTTTCTTTCGATTACGTGAAATTGACTTTAGGGTTTTTATGGCGTGAAATTTGAAAGTTGGAATTTAGAAAAGGGTTTGAAATAAGTTAGGAAATTTTGGAAATTGCTTGAGATTGAATCCAAAATTGGGCGATTTAGGGTTTTCAGGCTGTGAATTTTAGAGATGGAAGAGTATGAAAGAAATTATTTGAGTAATTAATTCGATGATTTGAAAATCTGTGTAACCCCAATTTAGTTGTTGTTAGTCGAGGGTCGTGGAAGGACTAAGCTACATACATCCTTGGGCCATTGCATAGTTGGACAACGCCCTCATATTCGAAACCATGCCTGATTGGTTTATGTACAGAATTGTCTAATGGGAGATTACTTGGGTTGGTTTGATGAGCTAGACATTAACTGATGTGAAAACAATGCTCCATGCTCGTCTTCTTCACCATGCTATTTTCAGTATACCCTACTTGGTTATTCGCTGCAAAGTTGCCTTATACCCTCAAGCCCAAAAAAAAAAATTCTCTTTTTTATGTCTTCTGAATAATTTATTCTTGATTGATTTACAGGGACAAACTTGAGCTGAAAGCTATAAAGGACGGATCAGCAAGCTATGCAGCACTAGAGAGAAAGGCTGCATTATATGATAAGCTGGTGAGGGGAGAGCTCTCTGATGAGGAAGACAAAGAGAAGTACTGTGTTGATTTTTTCCGTAAGGGCTTAGAGCAGGATGAATCACAGCAGTCTCAGGGCCATTCTATGCCAGCATCACCAGAACATGAAGATGATGGCAGTGATGCATCTGTGCTACTCACCACAAAAGCTGTGGGGCTTGGCAGGACAGCTGGTTCAGTAGACAGTAATGAGCATAAGCGTTTCGTAAGGTAACCAGTTATTAGTATCCCTAGTATATTTCTGTCATGACATTCTAGGATCAGTAGCATTAAGGAAAGGAATTTCTCTGTTGTTGTCTGAGTCATGAGAACAGGGGACTAAATGGTCCTTATTATTCAATCTCATGCTTCTGTATCCTATTTTGGGTCCAGTGCGCTGCTATGGGCTTTCTTTCCCTTCAGCTTTTTTGCAAGCACATGCAGACAGATGTCTGCACAAGTGAAATTTAGTTGTTATAATAACTGCTGCTATGATTATGTAATACTCTTTGGAATTCTTGGCGAAGCTTTCAGTTATCTTTTATATTTTCAGTTAATTGCTCAGCGATGGCCATAACATTTTGGTTTCAAATTTTAACACGAGTAGCAATATTTGGCAGGGTGAAAGACTATATTTTCTTGTAGCATATATGATTTGTGTACATATAAACACATATTTTGGGGCTGTTTAACAAGTGAATTCGTGAAACTGTAATCAGCATGAATACAACTTATATAGCATGAGATGAACCAGTATATCTGAAAAGGGATAATTTGGATTGGTCAGCAAACATAGAAAACTCTTCTTCTATTTGTTTTTATGTGTCATGGAATAATATCTAGCTGCTTATTTGCTTATTGCCATTGCATGATCTTTATGCTACTTAAAGTAAATGATGTCTTATGCTATCAGGGCACATCTGATGATTGTTTTGGTGTGGTTTCTTTCAGGGAAATTCACGAAGAAGCAAATCAAGCAAGGGAAAAAGCATCTGAACTCAAGCTGCGCAGGCAAGAGCAGATTGTGGCTCGTCGAGAGAAACTAAAACAGGCCTATCTCCGGAAACAGATTGAGAAATTGAAAGCTGCATCCAAAACAGAGCAGACTAATGATGGACAATGATACCCACTTCTTTTGTAAGAATACCCGCTTTAAACATGTGACAACCAATTCGTCCATTCCGTACACACTTAAAACCGCCTCATGACTACATCATTATAGGTGCAGAATTACTTCATCAAACTCTTTGTGCCGTACTTATATTGTTTCTTTGCAGGTTGTCATGATGCAAGAGGTATAATTCGTTTCATACATCTTAATGTTCCCATCCACTGAATGCTGACCGCTGTTAGTATGGGCTTTGGTGTTTGTGGAAACCAATCTCAACTCATGAATGGAGCAGTTATAGGGAACAAAAACGGATCGTGGATACAAAAGCCGGCCACGAGCTGAGATCATTCTTTTAAGATATGTGAAAATTGGCTAGAGTCCAGAGAAAAGAAGACTACCGAGGCCTGGTTTAATTCATCACCGCAATTTATAGAAGCTATTCAGGAAAACTAGTTCCAGTGAAATTGTTGCATTGTTGGTGCAAGATTTATATGGATGTTTCCTCTAGATGGTCAAGAAAACCTTGAATAAGGTCGGGGTAATTTTCTGCCTCCGTCGATTAATGTCCTGAATAGCACCAGGTTTCAATTGTTTTTGACCTAGTTGACTTTGTGCAATTTAGATTTTCAAATGTCATGGAGTCGGTATCTGATTAGCTTGGCGCATACTACTGCTTTCGTTTGGAAGAAAAAAATAAGAGGGAGAAAAGGGGGAAGAAGAGGAAGAAGGGGGGGGGGGGGGGGGGGGGCGGGTTGGTGTTCATCAGAACTGGACCTTTATAATTGGATGGATGCCTGTGGCAATCATTTCTCCTATTTGAATAGGGAGTTGTCAACGGTATTAAAAAAAAATTGATATTGTACTAATATTTATTTTATTATTGTTGTGAATATTTTATTCATTATTGTGGTACCAAAAAAAGTGATAAAAATAAGTATTACAACAGTGGTAAAGACCCTGATAAAAGTGATAATTTTTTTTTATATCGAAGAAAAGTGGTAAATATAGTTATCATAACAGTTATAAAAATATTTATAAAGTGATAAATAACATACAAAAGTGATAAATTATTCACCGATAAATTTTTTAGTTGTAAAGTGATTTATAGAAGTTATAAAAACACTTATTAAAATAATAAAATTTAAAAATATGGTATTATATTTTTGTTGGATCCTGTAGTCGAGTCCTTTGAATAGGATCATGGTCTTATTATGTTACAAGATAATCCAATGGGAGTAGCATTAGGGGTGACAATTCCATAACTACTTGTTACTATCAAAATATAATTTTTCAAATTCGGGAAAGAGAAAGGGAGAGGTTGCATAAAAAATTTATGTGTTTGTTTAGCAAGAGTACAGCAAAAGGGAAAGAGGTTGTAACCAAAGTTAAGTTTAATTATATTTTTTAATAAAAAATATTAAAATAACATTTCATTTTAACATCTGTCATTGAAAAATATTTATAATTTAAAAATGTCAATACATTGTTCAAGATTCTAATTGAGTGATTTAACGCCCCAAAATGACAACTCCCGTGCGAACTGGTATATTAGGGGTAGATTTTTTGTTATTCGTGCTTTCATTCTTTTAAATTCGTGAATTTAACTAATTTAGACTCTCATACTTGCATATTATTATTCATTTTTTTTCTTGTCAAACGCACGTCCATGTGTAAAGATATGTATCAAACTAAAATCACATTTATAATATATAATTGTTATTTTGAGACTTTATAATCAATAAAATTATCAAAAATTAAACAATTTTGTTCTATAATTGTGCGTAGAGTTTAATTTTTTTAATTTTGTTTTTATGAACTTTTGTGAATAAATGTGTATCTATATGTGTATATATGATGCTCACAAGACGACTTTAAAGTCGAAAAGTAAGGGTGGTCATTAAGTCAAACGTTAACGCTTTTTTTTTTTTTGTTACTTAGATGGAAAATGGGCAGAATCAAACGGTAGTCCAACCATTTTAGAACACAGGTACACAAAATTGCCTCAGCCAGTAAACATATATTATCTTTCAGTGTATCGTATAGGACCAAATTCTTCGAAGTAAATCACCGTTGCTTTATGGCACCAAATAGTTCCTCCAACGAACGTTTAGGAGCTTCAGTACGAGCAACTATCTCCACCACTTTGTAAGAAGCTTCTGGATGGAGCAATGCCTCAACAGCAACTTCAGCAACCTGATCTCTAGAAATCGACCCTTCATATAGAGTATCCTACACCCGGAATGAGAGAGTGAGAGCATGAAGAAGGCAGACTACAGGCATATAACCATATAAGTACGAACAACATAAGACTATGGTACCGAAGGAGGTTACCAAAAATTATAATTTTTATGGGTTAAGTGGCAGTTTTTTGGGGTCTAAGAAGATACAACGAAAATGTCAAGATTGGATCTTACGAAAATGCAACTTTTAAGGTCAAGTCACACTCTTTGGGAGGCAATCACAACCTTTTTGGTTGTTTGGAATCGATCCAAACGTCTTTTAGATCGATCCTCAGAAAAATTGTAACTTGACCCTCAAAAATGGTATTTCGAAATACAATATGGGAAACACACTTTCGGCACTTAGACTTATCCATTAAAAACAAAACTGAGAGGAATTATTTAAATCATGAATGTCAATACCTGTGGTTCCATGACAATATTTCCCTTTGGAGGGTCATTCCTTAACCCACCAGGCCTTATAATTGTGTAGTTGATACCAGATTTCCTGATATGTTGTTCTGCTTGAAGCTTTGCTACTAATGTGAGTCCAAACACATTGAGGAATATGTAAGCCGGATTTAGCAACTGTCCCATTGCAGCACCATTAACCAAAATGGAGCTGATAAGGATGAATCTGTTAACACCAAGTTTGCGGCACCCTTCAACGAGATTTACTGTGCCAAAATTATCTACCTGAAACAGAAGATTGTGAATGACAAAACTAAAAAACACCACCATGGCTAAAATTGCAAGACAAGGATTATCTAAGATCATAAGGATTGAATTTTGCTGCTGCAACTAAAACGAAAGCAGAATTTTTTGGCCTCCTTCCCCAATGAATAATCATCATTGTTAATATCACTGTGAAGTATCAAATGCCTAAAATCTGGTGTCAAGAATGGCGGAATCAAACTACGTTCAGTGTTTCCTAACCACCATGTTTTTATATCGTGTTCTAGAACATAAATTGCTGGGTAGTAATGTTTTCCCTTGATTCTCAAATGATTAGGATGAAAAGTGAATGATGATTGACTGGATGCATTAACATAACAAGTATAAAGAAATTACTAAGATGAAAAATAAGATTCTGCACCTTCCAAAGATTTAGTCAGAAAATGGAAAAAATGCCACAGTATATTCAAGTTTCGTAGCTTTAAAGGTTTGTAGCTATCCCAAGACTATCAGATGATCTTGTAATTTCCCATCATGACTTTCATAAGAACTAAGAAGCCGAAGAACTATTGCTTAATTGAAACTTGGACCATGGTCCAATAAGGATGACATTTCGATGCCGACAGATTTGGGCAAGGTACCAAGAGCACCAGTATGAGTAACCAACCTTCCACGGAGCTAATAAATCCCATGAAGGCTGAAAACCTGTGGCACATATTACAGCATCTGAATCGTCACCAATGGCTTCAGCTAGCTTTACTGAACCCTCAGTTACATCTGCTTTCACCTGAAAATAGATACACACAGACTTTGAACCAAAATCTCATAGTTACAAGGGTTTGGCGAGCCTCGCTGGTTCATTTATTCTCCTAAATTAATAGAAATCAGGTTATGTATCACGAAAAGAAAAGCTTATGCATGGAACATTGTTGGTGCACTTTGCACTCACACGAGTTATTTATTTTTTCCAGATTGTATGCAGTCAATAATATTTTTACTTAACATGGTTATTTTAGTAGTCTAAAAACCAGGAACCTAAGGTTAAAAGATTATTCTAGGTCTCATGGCCAAACGAACTTATTAGCCCTTGAATTTAGAGACCCCCAAAGGTAGCTCCAACAGAGTTCCCCAACCAACAGAAAACCACAAATGACAACGAAAAAGCAATAAATATAGCACAAAAATGTCTACCAGATCATATTATCATAGGGAGATAGCATTATATGAATCAGATTTTGATAAAAATATTTCAGATTTTTAGTTTTACGTGAGAAATTATAGCCCTCAATTGTATGTCAAAGAACTATGTGCTAAGAAAGATGCTAACCATTAATGTAAGAAGAAAATCTAAAGCCCAGCATCAAAGCTGTGTTATTTCCCTCATAATAATCAGCAAATACTATCTAAATCTATAAAAACTATAACATTAAGTTATATAATCTGAGATTTGGGAAAAAAGTATAAAAAATACTAATCTCTCTTTCTGGAAAAGTTCAGATGGTATCAACAATAAGATAAATAAGGATAAGATAATCTAAGATTTGTGTAAACCTATCTATTTGGACTTCTTAAAGTTTATATCTCTATGTCAAGGCTTTACCACCCAATACACTATCCTGTCTAGCGGTTGCACAGAAAGACGGCATGGCGTACTATCCATAGAAAAGGGATGCCTGGTCTCCAAATTGAGTTGTGGGCACAGTTAAGTTCCAGCAATAGCTTCAGCATTAAGCGCCAAATACACTCATCAGAGGCTTCAACCATCCAACATATCTCCGATAACATTTTAAGCACTACTGAGCCTCTTTAGTTTATTGTTTAATGAATTTGATAACCTTATCAACATTACCCAAAATCAAAGTTTATTGGTCCTAATCACCTCAAGGTGACCTTCTTTGTCTACCTCACAAACACCTTAAATTCTCATTAGTACTTCAATCTACATTGCCTCAGAAACTATATCAATCTCTAGGTTTTCAGAATCAAATTCCATTGTTGTTTTCCAAAAAATTGAAAACCCAATTGAAAATCAAAATATAAAACAGACCTAAGATACTCACAATTTCAAGATCTGGGTTGTTGCCTGAAAAGGTTGTTTTAGCCTTATCAATGTCACGAACACCAGCCTTGACCGCAAAACCCTTGGCCAACAGTTGCTCAACAATCCTCTTCCCGGTGTTTCCAGTAGCACCAGCAACAAATATTTTCTTCTTTCCACTGGCACCCACTTCTTCTTGCTCCTTAATTTCACTCCCCTCCATCTAAAATTACATAAAAAAGCACACAATTAGCACATGAACATAACAATGGCAATTAATTTCTTGAAATTTCCATTTCTGGGTTGTCATGAAAATGAATTTGCAAAGGAAATTATTGGGAAAATGTAAGGGAATTGGGAGAATTACCATTGTAGCTTTGAGGTGAAAAGACTTAGTTTTAGGGAGAAAGAGAGAGAAAGAGATGGGCTTGGTGGATAGAGAACAGGGGAGAAAGAGAGAGGGTCTGAAGAGCAGAGAAGTGGCCATGTTGCTTTCTAATTTCTTGTCGTTATAAATTTTAGTTGACTATCCGCCACAATTTCTTATAATCGGCAAGAAGTTATAATGTTGGCATGCTCCCGACCAAATAATAATAATAATAATATTATTATTATTGTATCATATTATTTTGGATACATATCGAATATTAGTCAATTTTAATCTAACTCGTTTATCTATTGTGTGGATCTATTTATTTCGTAATTGAGGAGCAAAAAAATAAAAACTTTGTAATGTGGTTCAAAATATTTTTATTACGTCGTTTTTAGAAGCAATTTGCAATGAACCACATTGCAACATTTTTACTTTTTTAAGGGAACGATGTAAAAAAATTAATGAGGACAAATTAAATTTTTTTTGTATCTTTCATAAGCAAATAAGATTTCCTCATTTTTTAATGTTTACACGTGTTTCTCTATAGTGCTCTATCAAGGGTTATATTTTCATTAAACTATGAGATATCATATATTTTTTATTATTATTTTGTTCAAATTAATTTCGTCTTACCTTTACCCCTTATCTCATGGACAACGTCAAGTCACTTTTTCCCACCGGTGCATTATTATATCTCTTACAAACATGTTTAAACCTGCTAAGTTGAAAACATCTCAATTTTTCTTTATTAGGGATAACTCGTGCCTGAAGACATGGTACCAATGTAAATGAGAAGTGATGGATTGAGGGAGGGGAGAAATTCAATGTGAATGATTTTGAGAGGAATATTGATAGCCGTTAAATGAGTTTTTTTGAGACTGTCGGGTAAACTTATTGAAAGTTATTCCGTTTTTTATTTTAGAATTTGTTATTTCTCTGATTTTTCAAATATACTCATTCTTAATCCTAAACTTTATTGGTTTAATACGCATTTATTTTAATATCCTCATTTACGTAACACAAATTTTATTTTAGTCCCAATATTTTGCCTAGTTATTATTGTCACATTAGCGTCACATCATTTTGTTGCTTAAATTTTATCCCATTTTTAACTAGTACAGCAATACTCTTTGATAGAAGCCACATTTTTTAGCCGAGATTGCAACAATTTTACTTAGAACTTTCCTTTCATCATCCATCCCATTCATCCAAGTGTTTTGGTTTGTAGAAACAACATTTATCTAGGCGATTCATTCCAATTTGGTAATAAAATGTAGGAAAAATCATAAGTTGATCCCTCCACTATGACTCTTTTTCCATATTGTCCATTCAACTATCATACTTTTCAGATCATACCTTCAATTATAAGATACTTTTTTGCCAAATTTATAAAGGTCGTAAGTTATTGGAGTGGGAAACTAATCACATAAGATAACCTTTTGCCCCTTGAAGTATGTAACTTATTTGACTTTGCTCTAGCACATTGATAATTTTCTTCCAAAAAGATGTCGAGCATTTGTGTTTTGGGCAATGTAAAATAGTTCAAGTAGTTAAGTAGGCAATATTAAAATTTTTATAATTTATGGGGCAAAGTAAAATTGAGTCCATGGTTAAGGGATTTAAACGGTAATTTTTCCTTAATTGGAAGATCATGTTTTTCGGAATATGTGGGATTTTTTTTTTGGAAAATGCTAAATAGTCTTAAAAAAATTAACTTAAAAGTTTGATTTGATGAATCACTATCATTGAATTGATAGTGGATCCTAATAAATATTGGAACCCCACAGTTAAATCAATGACAAATATAATAATCACATCATCAAATCAAAATTTTAAGCCTGTGTAACACTGCTTTTTTTTTTTGGCCAAAGCTTAAGAAAGTATATGATTTTTTTGAAACTTAGGAGGGTTATAGAATTTTCGAAAGTATAGGAAAGTTTGATTTTGAAATTATTGTTTTTTTATAATACCCTTTTATTATGCTGGTTAACAGGTGGTTAGGGATAATCATAACCTATATCACACAATTCGTGCGTCTACCTCAGCGGACTTGCGTTCTAAATGCCAATCCTCGAATTCGGAGCGAATTCATGGTGAATCCGCAAATTCAAAATAATGAATTTGTGATTTCATAATTATAATTTGTAGATTGAGTTACTTAAAAAATAACTTCACAAATATAATAAAAATTTGAACTCATTCGGCCCCCAAGTCAAGATCCATGCAAACCATTCCAAAATTAATTAAGCCCCAAATATAAAGCCCAATTTCTGGATTTATTCCAATTATGGTTACAGCTGGGCAATTAATCAAATTAAGTTACTTGAGCTCAGTTCGGATTCTACTCGTTTTGAGCTTGTTTAAGCTAGGGTTTTTTTTTTTTTTTTTTTGTGGTAACGAGTCAAATTTAAATAAGGGAAATTTTGAGGCCGATCCTCTTATATGGACTTATTTAGAGATAAGTCCGTTAAGGAAACTTATTTGATTTTAAATCTGTTTTTTATCAATTTTATTAGTATAACCTTTCCATGTATGAATGTTATAAACGACGTTTATGGATACAATAATCAGTTATATACATCTCCTTCATAATCACTTTCAAATTCGACTACAATCTTCCAAGCCACAAAGTTTCCTTATCCGAAAAATAAAAAATCAACATTTACCAAAAACAGTTCATATTTAAATTTCAAACTTATTACATTCCATAAAATACAATTTCAATTTACAATTCCAGTTTACTGTGGACTCTATCGACAAAATATTAATATTTAAATAATAATAATAGTAACATACTCAACAAAAATAGTAACATGATCACTAAAAAAATAGTAACATGCTCACAAAAAAATAGTAATATGGTAAAAAAGTAATAAGAATTAGAGATTTAATTCTGTCAAAGTGGGCATTAACATTATAACCAAGATTCAAGAGAACTCATACGTTAATACTAAATTAAAGTATAAATTTCGATATTATTGATTTTTTTGTTATGCAAAACAATTGAGTATTCTTTAGTTGTTACTGTGAAAAAAATTCATGTTATTGTACGTAAATCGAAAAATGGAGTTCAAAATTTTGATATCTTGATATTCACAATTAGTGTTGAATGTCGTAATTCAACTTTCGATTATGTGTTACTTCTCGTCATTTTGTAAATTTTTAATTTGTGGATCGTATTTTCATTAAAATCATTCGAAAGTTGATGTTACTATAAAAAACCTGTTGTCTTGTATTTTGTAAAATTAAATGTGTTACTAAGCACAAAATTTTGATATTACTGTAAATATTAAAGTGTATGTTACATAATATACGTATCAAAGTGTGCAATTGTATGTTAAAATTCACTATAATAACATTAGTGTCAATATAGTAACACGACTCTAATTGTAACTTTAATCATATAATAACATGAATGTTACTATATATTAGCATTCGTGTTACTGAACTCTATTGACATTGTTCAGCCTCCCTATATTACGCATTACTGTTGTTAAGGAAATAATTTATTCATACATTAAGCTTCTCATATATAACTATCAGAATATATAACTTTCATATAAAACTTCCGTTAATTATCATAATATTTAATAAACGGCTTCCATGTATAACTCAATCAAAAGTTTTCATATACACATCAATGATCTAACCTATGAGACTTTTCATAACTGGACAAAATTAACACCATTAGGGATAATTTTGAGATTTAAAAAATAAGCGGACTTAAGTACCTACATATAAGTTTAAACATGGACTTACCCCAAAATAAGTTTTATTACAGAACTCAAGTCATTATAAGTCTATTTAGGGGAACTCACCCTTAATTTTCATTTTAAATAATTTTGTAGGCCCATTTGAAAAATAAGCCCAACAGGCATAGCTAAAACTCGACAAGCTCAATTCATTTTATGTGTCAATACTCGGACTCAGCTCATTTAAGGCTCATTCAAACTCCACTCGTTTAAAAAATGAGCTGAATTTGAACAATTTGTTCCAATCGTTCGAATATCAACCTTAATTACATCTGTTCATTTATAGTTGTAAAAGCTTTTGCACTTGTTGATAGCCAACCGATGTGGGATGGGGCTGTGATATTTATACCAGTGAAACCATTTAACTTGGAGGGATTCTGCCGATGTGGGATGGGGTTTTTACTCTAAAAGTGCATTTTACTTATTTCCTTTATTGGTAATAATTCTTTTTCTTATTTTTAGTGTTTTGATATCCTATTTTCTAGCGCATATCATAATTCTATATATATAAATTTGACGCTCACAGTGACACTTCCGCTCTGGACATTTTTGAAATTTTGATACTCTCTTTCTCTCTCACTATCACAGAGAATTTGATGTTTTTGAGCAAGACAAACTTTTTTAGAATGAATTTGGTATCATTGGATCAAAGTAAAATGGAGATTAGATCAATCTTAATTATTGTTGTGCTTTTTGGCGGGACTTGAGGCGACTCAGCAGCCCCCGAATCGATACCTGTAAAATTGTAGCCGTTATGGAGCTCAAAGGATGCCGAGGATTGGAGCCGATAGATGACAACTCGAAGGAGTCGAGTGCTCAAGCTGACACTCGCATTTAATGAGACTTGACCATTCATTTATGGTGATGCGAGTGATAGAGACAGTGCCATTAATGAGCCCCCTGCATCCTCAGACCATAGGCCTACGGTCATGATAGCTAAACATTAATAGCTGATACCCCTAGTAAATCTCCTCGTTGAGCCCTGAGGTACTGTTTTCCCTGAGCATTGAACACTCAAGAGTAGGTATCAGGCGCCCATCATACGTACTCGAGTGCTCAGGAATAGCTATAAGTGCTCAGCCTGTATCCAAATGCTTGTCCTATCATCCTAGCATTGAATATGTGAAGATTTGAATGAAGAGCGTTCAAATCTTCTTGGGTAAAAGTGTTAGGCATTAAATGTTCAGATGATATTTGAAGTCTTTGCACTCATTTTTATTTCAGGTATAAATACTCCGTAGAAAAATGAACAAAGGTATAAAACTTGAAACCATGATACATGATATATTGAGCTCAAGCCTCCCATCTTATACTAACTTAAGCTTCGGAGTGGATAAGTCGGGTGTTCACTTGGTCCCATTTTTCTGACCTTATGGTTGTTGCAGATCTACCAGGTT